ATTATAATTTAATTTATTTCATCGCTCGCAAATATGCAATCAAAATGCAGGAATTCACCTATGTGCCACGCGTAGGCAGGCAGTTAAGCTATGAGTTCGCGCACCCACGGCCGGGTGTCTTGGTCAACAGCCATAAACGGTGATAGGTGACATTAATTTGTTGCCATATGTCAACATACATTTCAATTGGGTGCACTGAGTGAGCTTGCACTATAAAGAATAATTCAAACGATGAGATTGTCACACCTACAAAAATGTCCAGATGCAGTCAGAGACAAAGCTAATTACATTGGTGTATGTCGTGGACTATAAGAAATAGATACTTACATAATATATGCGCGGCTCTGGTGGTGATAAATCAATTAAGAGTCTGTAATCTCATCTACTACTAATGCAGAGCAAAATGTCAGCGTTCATACATATTAAAATTATATATACATACATATGTACCTGTGGCTGTGACTACTGAGTTGCTTAGAGCAAATGATATACTACTTAGAGCAGTAATTAAAAATCATTTAAATTACATTACAGATAAAAGAATTTGCATATTCGCATTATAATAGTGAAAGCTGCGAGCTTTATCACAAATTACCAAAGCGTCACAGACCCACCCATTACAACATTTCTCAATGATTGCCAAGTGCAGGAAAATCGACATAACGGTGATAAGTTTGTCTAGAAACATCAACGCAAATATTTCACTAAAAAAAATTGCAAAATTGCAGACATAGAACTTTTAATAAGCTTAAAATCGTTTTCAAAAAGCTTTAGAAAACCGCGCTAGAATTCTTGATTGTCTGACAACTGTTGGCGCTGTAGCCTCTAAATATCGCCGGAGGCGCTAGAACATGCGGCGCGCGCTTTACACACTTCTAGGCGGAACAAGCTTCAGTTTAACGGGTCACAGCTGCCTAACCTATTGTGCGCCTGCCATGGTCATTATCTGACTGGCGCTGAATTATTACTTTTGTTTTCACTGCTTACTTGAGGCCGTAAAATTTTTTATTACAATTTGTCGGTTTGTCAATTATTTTCGCGCATGTGTGAGGCGGGCACACGGTTTCTTACATAAGAATGAACGCATTGGCATGTAAGCAGCTTTTTCGCCTTTTTGTTCCAGCGGAGAACATGTTCTTTAGCCAGCTACGCGACATGCGACACATTCACTTGCTCGTGGCATATTTCGTTCTGGTTTCGCGATTTGAACTGATTTGCTTAATTTTTTGTCTTTTTGGAAGCAGTTCATTACGTTACCATTTCAATCAGATTTTATGTGCAATTAATTGCGCTACAATGCTTGAACACCTCCAGTTAGCTGCTTGATCAATACATGTTGTCGCCAATCATACCAACATCTGTGACAAAACGTGCCGATTGTGTTGCGAAGATATCAAATTAATTAAGCTTTGACTATTATTATTGAGATAGCCCAGATTGTTATTATATAATACATACGTCTACATTGTTGATTGAGCTGCTGATCGATGAATCGTAATAGATTTATGAAAGATATGTTTGTCAACAAAATGCTTTAGTAAATCGGTAGAAAAAATACCCCATGTTCTAGTAATTCCATTTGCCTTACTTGTTATGTAATCCCTTGCCATATTTATGCGACGATGGGCATCAAACTGATGAACTTATCAACTAGCTTCTATGTTAGGAAAAATATGATAGCCTTTATTCGACGCACAATCATATTTAGCTTCTTACCCGATATTTATATGAAAATCAAACTATTTAACACAAACGAGATAGATGCCATAAACTAATCCAAAAGCTCTAAACTTAAAATATTTGATGGTCCGAAATGACGAAAATCGAATCGGATTTCCTTATTTTGGAGATATGGGGATAAGTGAATTTGTTTAAAGTTTCAAGCATATTGATTTGGACTGATTGAATCAACATTTGACATTTCTAATGGTATAGGCTGGCTTGACACAATGCTTCTACGCAATTGTGTTAGAAGAACTCACACCTTCAACTCATTTTTGACATTAGATCACATTATTATTTGAAAAATAATAATAAACCAACGACTACCCACCGGGCGCAATGCGCGTACATACGAAATTATTCGAGTGGTGAAACACCAGAGAAGTTTTAAGCATCGAGATCTAAAACGGCTTAGTTACAGAAACAAAAATTCCATCATTTAAGTTCTAATACTGGTACTACTTTATAAGATATTGGTCCTATTTCAATTTTTAAGAGACACAATATAGTATTTACTAATTCAGACCTAGTATCCAAGTAAATAAAGTCCTCTCTCGACGTTCATATACATACTTAGGAATAGCCCCATTTCGTAGCGCAAAACGGTGTTTTTGATTTTGTGTTTACTCTGCTTTTATACTTGTACATATGCACTAACTGTATTAATAATAATATAATATGAAACCGCCACACATACTATACGAGGTGTGTTCAAAAAGTAGCGCGAATTTTGAATTTTCGCGGGTTACGTATATTCGAATTTCGAATTTTTTGTACTCATGTCTCTCACTTATGCCGACAAGCTCGGCCATTTTGAATGTTCATTTAATTGTTGAAAGCTGCTTTGCTAGCACGTGTTTTGGATCGTCTTCGATTTTTACYTATTCAAAAAAATGGATCAAAGAACCTGTATTACCTGTAGATACTTTTCCTTGACCTATTTAATAAGTCGTTGGTTCTTTTCCTGTCATATGTTAGCTATAATTGTTTTGTTATGATGCTCCTTATTAGCTCCTCCTCGTATTCGTTAAGGAAAGCTCCTGCTTTTGCCAACTCGTCTGCTTTTTCGTTACCAAAAATATTCCTGTGACCGGGAACCCAGATCAAGTCTAGCTTGTGCTTGTCTTATATAGAGCATAGTGCTTTCATGGAGTTGTAAAGTATACTGGAATTTGTCATATGCGAAGACAAGCCAGGAGCGACGCCTGGCTATCCGTAAATATAGTCGTTTTATGTTTATTCTCGTGGTTTTTCAATAGAACTTCGCAGGCTTTTTCCATGCCTAGTACTTCCGCTTGGAACATGCTAACCGAGTTCGGTAGACGTATAGAGAGAGAAATACCTAGATCAGCGGAGAATAACCCCGTGTCTACTCCGCGGTCCATTTTGGGTCCGTCGGTATAGACAGAAATGGTATCCTCCTAACCTATTGAGCCTCTTCTCCATTCTCGTCTAGATGGTATCCTCATCTGGAAGTCTCTATTGAAATCCAGCTTTGGGAGAATGTAGTCTCATTTATTGATGGTGAGCTTATTTAGGATTGTCCATAGTTCTGCTGGTTCTCAAGAATTAGGAGTTTCTCAAACCACAACCTGGTAGATTTTGTGAAAGAATTTTGGCTTGCATTCGTATAAAATTGTTCTCACTCAAGAAGTGAAGCCATTGAACTACCACAAACGGCATAAATTTGCTGATTTTGCCTTGGAACAACTTGAAACATTTAACGATTATTAAAAAAAAAAAATATTTTCATCTGAGTTGTGCGGTATATAAACTAGTTTGTCGATTCCGGCGCGAAGAAAATCCACAATTTATTCAGGAACAATCATTACATTCACCCAAGTTTACAGTTTGGTGTGTTTTTTAGTCTGGTGGAATCACCGGTCCATACTTCTTACGAAATGAAGCTGGTGATACCGTTAGTGTCAATGGGGAGCGTTATGGATCGATGATAGCCAACTTTTATGTCGTTGATCTTGGCAACATCTGGTTTCAACAAGACTGGGCTATGTGCCACACAGCACATACAACTAACGAATTATTGCGAGAAAAAATAGGTTTGATTATTTCAAGAAATTGTCACCTTGAATGGCCTCCAAGAATCTGGGAGTTATTGGTCTTAAGCAGAAACTTTAGAAATAAATATTGCATGTGCTATTCATATTCCATATAAACTACCCCGCCATATAAATGTATTGTCCTGTTGGAGGGTTCAGTGCTACCAAATATGGTACAAAACTATCTTGAAGTATATTGGTGTACTGCTCACTATTCATAATTCCCTCAACACAATAAATTGGTCTAAATCATTATACTGGGGAGATATTTTACCGTTTTTTATAGGGTAACTTTGAGTGTGGGACTTTCGGGGGACGTTGGTAACTTTTTATGTTCACCTTATTTCAATCCACCCTTGTGGAATCTCATTACTTTACGTCGAATGCGCTCCGATATTTTCACATTTTGGGCAGAATTTTGCCGCATACTTGTGCGACCAACAGTGTAATATTTGAATGTGTGCACAATTTTCGCTACTCGAGTAACAGTAGCTACACTCCCTCCGATTTCCTTAATTTATTTTTCTGTAGGATGTACTTTTATATTTTAAAAGTGCAGCAATAGCACTTTGGGTTTTCTTTGAAATGCCCGTTTTTTTATCTATTTCCGAAAAGTATATTTTTCATTGCTTGTATTATAAAGCTTCAGAAAAAGTCAAAAAATACTAACCTAACAAATAAAACTCTGGAGTCTATGTAATAATAGTTAAACACTAATGAAAAAAATCGAATTCTTCCACTACGCCACTCATTTTATCTCTGATGAGTCAGAAATCACAAATGATAATTCCAAGTGAAGTAAGCATTTCAATATGATTTCGTATTTAAGTTCCGCTAATTTTAACGGTATATTTATTTATTATTTCACACCGACTAATATGTAATATATAGCCTACTTAATACCTAGCCAGTGGAAAAAATTCAAATTATTCGGTCAGCAAGCTAGCCCAGTAAGTTATTCGTAAATTTTTTTATTTATTTACCATTTTTCTAATGGGTTGGTGAGCTACTGTATCCTACATATGTACTTACTTGTTTTCAATAAATACAATGCCTTCCAATTTGTGACTCGATCAAACTTAAAATTTCAAAAAACATATTTTTAAAATAATTTTATTTCCTATAATAACAAAAAATGAACATAATCTCGATATTACAAATTACAACAATTTAATTATTCTTAAAATTACAACTATAGTCTAGCATTTGTGTTCTGAAAAGAATGAAGATTTTCAGATATCGTTTATACCAAAAGTACAAAAGAAAAAAGTTAAATAATTTTTGAATAAAATATAATTTGTAGATTTGTTTTTTACTAAAAATAAAAATGAGAGTAAATAAAATAATTAATAATGAAAGTAAATAAAATAATTCATATAAATGCTAACAACTGTGCAAGCAATCTTGAGCAAAGTGCAATGTAATGTGTTTTTAAATTACCTGTTTAAACCTATTTTAGTTATGGAACGAATGGATGAGAGTGAAATGAAAACGTAAAAACTAAATTAATTTTTCATAATTTATAAATTTCAACACAATATTCAAAAAAAAATTTTTTTTTGTGTAATTAATGTAAACGTATGTATGACAAAAATGCATGAAATTCTAAAAAGAAATATTTCGAATTTATTTTTTTTAATTTTGTAGAGGTTGTTTGACTTTTGTAAAAGTTGTGTGGAACAAAATTTTGATAAATAAGTTGATAGGTTAAAGTTTCCAGTGAAGAAGAAGAAATCATTGCTTATGAAAATAATCCGTTATTGGAAAATAAACTAATTTCTTGGCATTGTTGTAAACGGAGCTTTCGTGCATAGCGTTGCTTTGATATGCTTCTAAAATGAAAGCTCCTTGAAAATTGTGAGCAATAAACGTATGAAATACATATTATGTAACTATATTTGAGCTCAGCTATACTGAAAAGGTTTCAAGTAATGTAAAATACGATGCAAAGTGAATGTGTGATAAATACATTTTCGGCAGTGAGCAAGTTTCATCAAATGATTAGTCCTAAACTAAGGCCTTAGCCGACACTAAGTGGTTTTAAAACTTAATTTTTTTTACAACCAGCATCCAACTTTAAATGCGCACGCCATTTCGAACCGAACAACAATTGTGAAACTATTTTGTACAGTGAATGCTTTGAAAGGAGAGAAAATAATGATTATGATAACTGCCACGCTCGCCTTAACGGTTTCATGCTCTACGGCATGTACTCCGCCAAATTTATTTCTTACTTTCGTAGTTTTTGTTTAGCTGTATTGCCATCTTTCACTTAATTTATAAATAATGTCATATACTACAATTTGCTTAACCACCCCTACCACTAACAGCTTAACTTAAGGCCAAGAGCGGCTCATAGTCCAGATCTTTGGGACTCGTCTTCTTCTTATACTTCTTTTGCAACTTCGTTTTGGAGAGCTTCGATTTGGATTTGCTCGCTCGTCGCTTCTTTTCCTCCTTCTCCTCTTGCTCCTTCTCGCGATCAAGCAGCTCCAATTGCTCAAAGATGTTCTTCGGTCGTGGATGTGTACTTGGTTTGGTTGAATTTTTCGCCGCATAAACAACAACAAATTGTGAAAACGCCGAATCGGCCGGCGTATTTATATCGGCAAAGTCACGGAAATCGGCAAATTGTTCTTCGGGGTATGTATACTTCTGCACGAATTCCTCGTTCGAGGGGCGCCCGTGTCCATTCGCATCGCCGTAGTATTGATTGAAATCGCTATTATCATCGGTGTGATAAGGCATTTCCTCTTCGGGGTAGAAGGTGCCGCCGCGCAGCACGCCAAAGTCGCCGGAACCCAAAATGGTGGGATCAAAGCTGCGTTGTGTTGGTCCTAGTGGCACTTGTTCGGGATGTGGCGCAGCAAATTTCGGTATCACTGGGCTATCGGGTATGGGGAAGTAGGGGCGTGAATGGCCCAGTGGTGGCGCCTCACGGAAGAAAGGTGGGTAGTAGTTTTGTGCAGCTTGCGTGTGTGAGTCAACAGGCGTTGGCTGCGGTATGTTGGGATGTACATCGGAACGTGCCACGACATGAGGATTGGGTGGTAATGGGCGAAACTGGTAGGTGGGTGGTACGTGGAATTGTTGTTCCTGTGAGCGCAAAACTGTAACTGGGGTGAAGTCATTTGGTTCCATGAGCATATCAGCATCCTCTTCGGGGAATTCAGCTGTTAGGGAGAAAAGAAAAAGGCATATGTTGAATGAGTGTTTAAAATTGATATTCGGCATTGTGAAAGAATTTATTTACAAGACTTTTACAAATTATTTAATGTTATTTTATATACAATTTTGCAATTATCTACTCTAAGCCACTTTTAAAATACGTTTGCTTCAAAATAAGTCGGATTTGTGGATTTATTACTTCTGGCACACCGTGTCATCAATTCTTCTCAATTTTGGAAGTGGAAAAACTTTCACCACTTGTCTCCATTTATCTTCTTGTGCTTTTGTTTAACGCTCTTACTTCGTTTACAATGGATTAATTTATATAAATATGGGCACGGAGCCGACAGCGACCAATCTATAGACATTTCTTCTGCTGATATGGCTACGAAGCAATGCCATTGAACCGCAATAAATATTAATAAAGCGACAACGGTAGTTTATATACCAAAATGTAAAACATTTTAAGCAAAAAGAAAAAAATCTTCAAGCTCAAAAACCTGTATTGGTAATATCCAGCGAGAGAGTGTTGACAAAAGCCATGCAATGACCGAGCAATACGGTGAAAGCGTTGCAACGACCAAAAGGCTGTGGCAACCCACATATTACAGCTTGTGGCAATTGAAAGTCAGCGGTAGATCGCTGTCAGCACGGATTTTGCACAAAACTTGATTTTTCAGTTAGCGAGTTACGAGCGTTGCGAAGTTTTTGCGCTTTTCCTTGTCTGTATAAATAAATTTATGTTTTACTTGTCCACAATAGTAGTTCATGTTATCTATGGCTTTTGCTCTTTTTAGTGTCCCCAAGACAAGATCGTGGTCAAGTGGCTTGTTTAAATTGGTCACAGTAAGCGCCCGCCCTCCGTGGAATAATGATACTGCACTTTTTAATTGCATGTAAATATAATCGCTTCCAGGCAGTAGCGGTAAGTACGAGGGTTGCCTTTTATATTTCGGGATCAGAGAATAAAAACAAATATTAGTCAGCGCAAATCAGCCAAATTGTTTTTCAAAATATTCTCCATTAAGATCCAACATTTACATGTAAACGTATCAACAGAACTAAATAATTTATGGTCATACATTTTCGTCTTCTGAATCTAGCTTTTTACGAACAAAGTGCGTAGGTTCAATATTTAGGCTTTGCTAGGTAAAACGAAAAAGTTTACTGGAAGTTTTCTCTGACCAATATGATTGTGAGGAAAGCGACTTTGAACTGAACGGATGATTGTTACGCTCACATTAAGGCCAGAAGGAGTTTAACTCATTCCTCCACTACGCCTTGAAAAAGAGTCTTAGCTTGAAGCGGACAGAATCCACGTTATAACATTAGTTCACTAAACTCTTAGACGAGTCTAAGACGATAAACCCCTTATCTGAAATTCTAAACACTTCATATGTTTTACCATAGAGGGTAGGTAGGTTAAGATGTTGATCATAACGGAAGGCTCACTTGGACAGATTATAAGATACTTACAAATAGACAAAGTGCTTTGAGTCTAATACAAATTTCATAAGATGAGTTTTGGTTATGGCTCCTACTTCAACGAAGGTGAGATTGCTGAGATTTTCGCGAAAGCAAATGGAGGGAAAAGTGTCGGAATGTTTCCGCGTCACCTTTGTACAGGTTAGATTAGATGGCTGATCAAAAATCGCATGTGGATGTTTGAAGTTAAGCGCTCTCAAGTATCTAAATCTTGACCTCATAAAGGCTTTATAGTCAATAAGGAAGTGTTAAGTTGTTTCCATCTCATCTTCTTCCGTTCAGCTTCTTAAGACGGACCCTAATATGGCAATGGCCTGTTAAAAGCCCCACATATAGGGAGAGGGTAGCCTTAAAACGATAACTAGATCTCTTGTCATTGATCTTTGGCCTAAACATTTGGCCACAGCGCAAGTACTAATGGTGGCACAGTGCTGGTCGAGCTTCCAGCTATCGCGTAGTAACACACAAGAGGATATGAGAGTACCGAGTCGCTCCCATTCTACCAATAGTGGTTGTAAGGTGTATTTCCTTGCTAGCTCATCAACCTTGCAATTTACTGCGATTCCACTATAGCCTGACAACCATACCAGTATTATCACAAAAACATTAGATACTATTGACAGCGAGGTTAAGCACTCCCAGAATGCACTGTTAATGAGTTCAAGGCTGGTATCGCCACTCTGCTATCTGAGCGAATGGTCACTTTTCTGAAGGAGGCTGCACTCCGGAGCAGTAGACCTGCTGCTTATCTTCCCACATACAACTTTACAAAATATGTTTTGGCCTTGCCACATGTATGCCAAGAAAGAACTACTACGATAGAAGCAATATGAGCTTTACTAAGGGCAAATAGTTAAATAGATCTTGAAGGGGATTCTCTTGGCTTTAGACCAAAATGATATCGCAGTCGCAAGCGCATTGTCGACCCGCGGATGCTAAGCTCAAATGCGGTCCATAGGTCCAGTACTAAAGCGCAAGATGACAACGCGGTTCCAACTCGTTCCCACTCCGATGAGAGCAGCGCAGGAGCGGCCTTTTTGGTTTGAGAAAACATGTCTAAGTTTGTCTTGAGAGTAATCGCCATCGGATAGCGTCTGTATGTATTTAAATAATTAGTTGCTCATTTGCAGAAATTTGACAAGCATTGTGCGAGCTCAGCGCCATTAAATCACACTAATTAATAAATCATGTCACACATAATTAATTACACACTTAATTGTATCAATTTTGATGCTGTGTTGAAAACGAAATATTTCCACACTGTTACATTGCTTTATTTTGTGGCGTGTTCACTCCATAAAATTTTTGAGCATTTAACGGTTTAGACAGTAGCGGATTCAAGCATAACTGCACTCTGCCTAAACTTTATCATTTCGAATTAACATCGTGTCTTCTACACAAATTACCATCTAATACTCATATACTTAGGGCTAACGTTTGATAGATTTTATAATAATATTTTAAGTGTTTTCACACTGGCTATATAGTACATAGTTCAAACGGACGACTCAGTCGGCTGAAGGCTCGACATTGGCAGAACTGATGCTCTAATGTTTTATCAAGCTCTGAGTTTTGTCCCTCTTAGATTAGCTGGTTTTTGATGATGTCCCTGGGATAGTCTGTAATCTGTTTCTGTGTTCCTCCTTTCCTAAAACCATTAGTCTGTTGAACTAATAGCCTGATCGGCAAAATCATACAAAATGACAACTCATACATTTCAATCCCAACCGCTCTGCAATATATTTACGCATTCTTTAAAAACCAGGACTTCGACGATGTCTTCGTTCCAACCCGTCTCGGAAAAATTAGCAAATTTATATGACACACGTGTCCACAACGAAAATTCATGCAAACCTGCCGATAAGCGATAACCGAGATCTTTCAAATTGTTACAATGCGGCACAGGTATTTCCACCACTCATGAATCCGCCACTGGTAGTGGGCGATGAAAAGACAAAAACAAAAAGTTAATGTTGCTAAAAAGTGCCGACAGCGATAATTAAATCTGACCCATATTTGTAACAGTAATTTCGGTATAAATGAAAGCATACGTTAGCATGGTTTTGAACTCATCTTCCACACCGCGTCGCAGCAATAATAATAAAAATTGGTATGCGCAAGCGCTACCGCCGATGCAAAAAGTGGAATAATGCGATAATAATCATTGCAAACGCAACCAAACACGGTTATTTGGAAAAACAATGCAAAATTGAGAAATTGCAATTGCTACTAACGACTTTAGGGTTTTCATGCCAAAAACGTCAGGCCACAATTAATCAATCACAAAACTAATATTTTTACCGGGTTTTCCAATAAGGGTGATATGATGTAAACGAGAAAAAACACACTACTTGCTAATGAAATTCAAATGTTTTTATTTTATTTTTTGTGAAGTTCAATCAGTAAAATTAAATTCTGTATATAACATTATTCAAATGCTCTCCACGACTTATTTTGCAGGAACGAATTCGACCCGTAACCCGTTTTTCGACTTATTTTCCACTAAGTCAAGTCTTACCTCATTAATAGCGTTAAATATTGACTTCTAAAGCTTTAGAGAGTCTGGTTTATTGTTAAAGACCAATGACTTCAAATCATTCCACAAGAAGTAGTCAATGTCAAGACWATGGCCTCATTGTCAAATTTTCTTGAAATAATCCAATCTCTAAACTTTCCTCCCAGAAATTCGGTTGTTGCACTTGTTGTGTTGCACGTAGCCCTGTCTTGTTGGATCCAGATGTTGTGAAGATTAACTTCTTTCAATTGTGGCTACAAAAATGTGGTTATCATAGATCATACCGCTCTCCATTGACAGTAGCGGCTTCATTTCGAAAAAAGTGCGGTCCTCCTCGATAATTTATGGATTTTCTTGGCACTAGAATCGACAGGTTTGGTTCCTTACCGGACCACTTCGATATAAGTGAGACTCATCGGAGAAGATAATTTTCTTAATTACTTATTATTTTTTTCAGAATAATAAAATTGTACAATTTTTATACGTTGTGTATTTCCATGATGAAATTGTTTACATTACTGACTCTTTTTCTTTACTGGCGTAGACACCGTTTACGCGATTATAGCCGAGTTAACAACAGCGCGCCAGTCGCTTCTCTCTTCGCTACGTGGCGCCAATTGGATATCCCAGGTCTTTCTCCTCTTGATCTTTCCAACGGAGTGGAGATTTTCCTCTTCCTCTGCTTCCCCCGGCGAATACTGCGTCGAATACTTTCAGAGCAGGAGAGTTTTCGTCGGAAAATATGACCTAGCCGCTGTCTTTTTATTCGCTGAACTATGTCAACGTCGTCATATGTCTCGTACAGCTCATTGCTCCATCGAATGCGATATTCGCCGTGGTAAACGCGCAAAGGACCATAAATCTTCACAGAACTTTTCTCTCGAAAACTCGCAACGTCGACTCATCACTTATTGTCATCGTTCAGGTCTCTGCATTACTGATTAGAATGATAAAAATTACAGGTCATGACATATTGAAAATGACCGAAACGAAACTTAGAAATCA